TCCAAAACAAGATAACAAAGCAAAAGTTATATTATTTCTTCCTAGTATTACAGCAATGAAGAAGCAACGCCAAAACCTATAGATGCCAAACGAATTTACTTGTTAATTAATTGTTTTTAATTACAGGATGTAATTCAGCAGGAAATTTAATCCAAAAATCATCTAAATCCTTAGGATATTTAACGAATTCGCATTTATCATATTTAAATTTATTCACATTTAAAATTCACAATATTCACAAATGAAGAAACTCCTCTGAAACATCGTATTCATAAAGACATTATTCCCATTTTTTATTTTTTGTCCCTTTTTTCATGATACAATTATTCCATATTTTATGTAAAATAATGATATGGAAGTTCTGATATCTATAAAAATAATTGTCTAGCAAATTGTTCAACTGTATTATCAACCATTTTCGGAGTATCTATCTCAGAAAAAACAACAATGAAATTAGAATTTAATATGTTCGAAAATATATTAATGATAACGAAATGTTTTTGTAGACTATCATATACATATGTAGATACATTCAAATACGTTGGAAATTTGTTTTTATAAACTTATATATAATTACATATTTTGTTATAGTCTTAGCCCTTGTATCTTTTCATACTGTAAAAATTTTTTTATTTTATTATGAAGCTATTTGCAACATATTTATTTTAATTATTTGTTCCAAGTAACCACTCAATTCATTTTATTTAGCAGGTGTATCTACATCTGATGCTTGATATTGACATAAATAGGTATATTATACAAATACATAATATTCAATTAAAATAGTTGGGATGTTTTAAATACTTAATAATAATATTAAAAATGCAATAAACTATGTAATAAAATGTCCACAAACGAAAAATATATATTCTCAAACATGTTTATTTAAGCATTGCATAGTAACAAAGAAACAGCAATATCCAGCATCAGACAGTAGCTGGGATTAAATGGACTGTCATTTACGTATATACAGAAGAGTATCTAAAGGAAAATAAAGACGTATCAAAACTAGATCACAAAATGTGTATACAAAAGTTTACATTTAATGATTAACGATCTGATGCATTGCACAAATTGCTGTATTCATTTTATCAAATGATTTATATATGCATATGTATATATATGTGTATATTTATGTATGTATAAATGCTATAGATTGCTCTTGAATATTGTATATTCTTCTATAGAACATTTAGAAGAAGCAATACAAAGTCGTATGTTTGTTTTTGTTCGGTTGTTTCTTTACAGAAAAAAGCACAGCATAAAAAATAATTAATTCGCGAACATTTCAAGTGAATACTTTAAAAATTATAGATATTTGATTTCCAATATCCAACATTTATAAACCAATAACATATGCTAAACAATTTCCTTACAACCCACAAGTAAAGCGACAAAAATTATTTGAACTTACGATAACAAGCAATTTTCCTTAAGATATTATTTAAAATATGTAAAATAACATTTAATTTAGTCTTTAGTCATAGAAGAGAGAAAGACATCTCTTAATACGAAGGAAAAGAAGCTACCGCTGCGTGCACACTCATAAAATTGTGATAAAAAAAAGAATACGATTACTTTCTAATCTAAGATAAACTATTTTCGATTAACTTTTTTTCTTTTTTCTGATACAGAAACTTGTATCGAGTAGAATTGCATGTGATCAACAAATCTATTGCGTTTTTTCATTGTATCTAATAGCATTTTTAATAAGACTGACCAAAATTGCGGAGACGGTAAAATGCAAAAGGAACCACACTTGCTAGAAACTGTTTTATCAATTATACTTAAAGTACAGATTTAAAACAATGCAATATTATAATAATGTAACTTCAACTTTCATAAAATTGCGAAGTATATATACATATGTATTAAATCTGCGCTTTAACTATAATATTTACATGGTTTGTTCTTTTATTTTATAAATTACTTACATTTCTTAGTCAGCTTATTAAAAGATTTAAGCTAAAATGTATTAAGACAAATATAATAAATGTTTGGTGTACAGCTTTTGTGAAGTGTCGTATTATAGATATATATATACCGTATATATGTATACCGTAGATATATATATATAAATTGCTTTTTTAGTTTTTACAACAAGATCTGTTGTTTTCAATTTAATGTGTACTTTAGGGAGCGTATTGTTCGTAGTACATGATAAATGTACTCATAGTTGATACGATAGTTCTATGCAGAAAATGCAGCATAATTAACCATTCTTTGATTTGTTTTTCCAATATATTTTTTAAGTCTGCTGTAAAACTGCATTCGTGACAGAAGTGTACGCTTCACATAAAATACTCAAATGTATCAAATATATATATATATATCTATATATATATATTTATATGTATGTATATATATATCTTTAGATATATATATATATATTATTATTGTTATTATCTTTTGATAAATGTCTCTTACGACAGTATCATTTTTCCCTTGGAATGATACTTAAACACAAAGAATGCAGTACTGAAATATCAATAGAGGTTAATCATCTAAATCATTAACATGGAGGACTTCTCTGTGTGTTAAACCAGCGTCTGATAATGTTAAAATTTCTCTACACGGATATAAAATTCTCTTCGGGAAACTAGTAGTTATTTCAAAACTCACTGGAGAATCCGGCTGACTAAATATCCAATGATATACATCCTAGAAAAGAAAATAATTTGTTTAAAACATTGAAATTAAGCAACAAAGAAAAAGTTAAAAAATAAATAACATACTTCTAACGTGTCAGACATTAGAAAACGTCTTTTCATTGTCCTTTCTCCAAGCTTAATTTGAAGATGACATGCATTAGGATCAGTAGGCTCTGGTTCGAGGGGCACTTTACAAACTGTAAGTTCTTTCTCACGGCGAATACGTTGAATTTCCATTTCTTGTGCATTTAGTTGTTCTTTTTCTCTAGCCTCTCGTTCCTCGCGTGCTCTTCGTTCCTCTTCTCTCCTCCGATCCTTCTCTTGGTCCGCACGTAGCGATTCCTCATATGCTTGATCTTGTTGTTGACGTAAAGATTGCGCCGCACTACGCTCTGCCCTATAGTAACGTAGATTAAACAATATTTCACCTAAATAAAATTAAAATTTTAGCTTAATTTTACAGATATTTATATTTTTTCTACCTTTCTTGACGAGCTTGTATTAAATTAATTTCGTTGTGATCTATAAATGTTTGTAATCGAGATATTAATTCAGAAGGTGATGGTGTACCTTCCATCCTGTAAAATAAATATAATTTTCGGCAGTGTTACATTCATTATTTTAAGAATTACACATGAAGGATTAAGGTATATACATATGCAAATTATTTTACATACCGACCAACTATTGTCATTCTATTATCTCTTAAAACAATAATAGCCAGGAAAGGATAAGAGCCAGATTTAAGAGCTTCTGCTACTTTATAACCTTCACCTGATTTCACATTACATGCCCAAAATAAGGTGTGTGTATTTACGTATTGAACAACTTCTACATTACCTAATGTGTTCCTGTTAATAAAGATTTAATTCTGTTATTTACTTCTCTACAAAATTTTCGGCAATTAGTGCATGATTTATAAGATTACCTGCACCACTGATCAACATTTTGTGCTTCATCTTTATGCAAATATACTAACAAAAACCTTAATTCTTGTTTTGCATCAGAAAGAGCTTGGCTGTAAGAGCCTTGATAAAAAACAGGATGACTGTTACCATAAGATTCCTCATAAGATCGAATGAAATTAATCACATCTTCCACAGGATCAGAAGATACTTGAAATGCAATCAATATGTTAATTTTTCTTGTAGAATCTTTCTCTAAAATTAATTATTACAAAAATACAACATACCAGGTCTGACATTTCTTCTAAATATTGATAGAAGTAGTTGTAGGATGCTAATGACCCTTTCATAACACAATGAAAAGATATACCATAAATAACTACCCCTGCCACTAGGACTTCCAGAATAATGAAAATATATTCTAGAACTGCTATCATCAACAACTTGTGGTGGTCTTGATCTTGAATCCTGTGCATACATTGATGGTCTTCCTTCATACAAATTTAGTTGTTCCTAAATAAAAAGAATAAGGACATTTTAGTTATAACACAATTTATGCTTAAATCTACTTGTGTCAATAATTAAGAGAATAATTAATAAACATCAAAGTATTCAGATGAACAAGATAAATATATAAAATTATTTAAGGATTTTTATCAATCTTTAAGATATCATAAATACTCCTATGACACAATTGATCTATATGTGATATAATAATACAGTTTCTTTGTAATTCTTACAAAACAATCGAATTTATGTGTCAATTTCTTTATGCAATCTTATCCTTATAAAAGTATAAAACTTTTTGCTGCAGTTAAAGATATTTAAACAATATACAGCAACAGAAATTCACCTGAACTGCAACCTCCAAATTCCAATTATGCCTCTGTAAGACGTCTCTGCAAATTGATAGATCCTCGATACCTGTTAAATCCTGAAATCATCTCAATATTGTTACTCTATAATGACACCAGAAAATGAATTTAAAATTGTATAGTGCAGCATGTAATACAATGAATTACCTGAAACTGCAGGATCTTCTCAGTCTGATCACTACTAAATCCGTTTAACGCGAAATCTGCCATATCAATGTTATTTTGTCTTCAAAAGACTAGAAAATCCTTGACGATCGTTCAGTTATGCGACTCCACAGAATGATTCTGAATTCATCAGCTAATAGAAAAACCAGGCACTCGAACAAAATTACGATCAAACTGCGCAAGCATTTGGAGTGTGATACCGAGAAAGATTAACCTCTAGTGTACACGGCATCTAGTTTATGGACCTCCATTCATTATCATTACGACACGTTTTGTCTCGTCGCTCTGTTCTATACTCAATGTTTTCGGTGTCATGACTTTTTTTTACGATAATTTACAGTTTCAAGGTTCTATTTCATGCGACACGATTTTAAGTGACGTCAGCTGCATGCATTGGTGAAACGACAGTCAACACTCTTTCTGTGTTGCCATTGGTAGAGTGTTATTTCAGCTAGCAACCAATACTGTGTACCGTAATTAACTTATCGTATATTTTGCAAAAATATTAATAATAATAATTTAATATATTTTAATGTAATTTTTTTATATAAACATCTATTCATGTATTGTTGACAAATTAAAGTTTCTTAACATATATCTAAAATACAAAGATAACCAATGAAAAAGTAGTACTCGACAAGATTTTAAACTCATTTCTTATGTCTTAAGCATGGCCTTAAGCTTAAGTTAAATTTTAAGTCAGTTATATTTGATTATCAAAATTGATAATCACTGGATATATTGTACTATTTATTGTATACTCTACATACATATGTTGAAACTTCCCATAATGTATTATATCTTATAATCCATTATTTTGTTGGTTGGAATTTATATCATACATCAGTTGTATACAATTTTGATGTGTTCAAATGGATAGTGGTGATATTGATGCTAAAGTTGAAATTCAAAAGACTCTGATATCTCTTAACGAAATAACATTAAAAATGTAAGCTTCAAATAAATATGAAATTTAGTTTTTTTTATATTCTGTTATAAATTAAGTCTGTAATTAGCAAAAAATTGGTGTGCAAAGATATTCTAGAAAATAATCTCATTCTTTCAATGAACAAAAATAAATGATAGTTTTCTTTTGTTTTTCAGAAAAAATGAGTTGAACATAATTAATGACCTCGTGAAAAAGGATGGACAACTTCACACAGCTGTGGTTGATGCAAATAAAACATTAACTGTAGTAGCCCAAGATATGGGCATAAATGTTAAGAATATTTTAAGTAATGAGAAAAGTGAAAATGAATCTCAATTCAACTTAAGGGATATTATATCTTCTGCTGCTTTCCAAGAAAAAATATTGGCATGTTTAAATAATATGTGATCTTTATTATTTTTAATAAACATTTTGTATATTTATATTTACAAATTGTCTTATACAAAGAGTAGAAACAAGTACAAAGTTCATATTTTTTTAACCTTTACCTGCTTTTCATTATTAAAGCTTTGATTCTGTCAACCAATCAAACTTTTGTTGTTTACGTTCAGCCTGGGGATTAATCATAATGTTTATCATGCTAGGAGAATCATTGACCTATAAGAAATTTATTCATTAAAGCTACTGAATGTTATAAGAATTAAATGAAAAATACAAATTATATTTACTTGAAGGCATATTCTGAGTGCACGTTGTATATCTTGTACAGTGGTGCAGAAGTGACCTTTGCGACCAAACATCTCTAACATTTTTTCATAATGTGTTTCTGATGTTAAAGAATTTGGCGGTATTCTAAAAGTTATATATGTAAATACATGTGTAATTTTGTCAATTTTTATGAATGCATAAAAAAAAAGGACTTACACCTGTGTTGGTTCTCCTGAAGCTTGTATTTGTCTAAATGTTTCATTATCCAGGCCACCATAAATACCATTATTATTTATAATGATGACAATAATAGGTAGTTTATACCTAAAATATTGAAAATTACTAAGAAAATTAACTTTTATGATCTTAATATTTGGTAATCTCAGTTACCTACCTAAACATTGTCTCAATTTCCATGCCAGAAAATCCAAATGCACTGTCTCCTTCTACACAAATAACTCTTTTTGTGGGAGCATTTTTTTTACAATAAAGAGCGGCTGCTATAGCAAACCCCAAACCAACCCCCATTGTACCAAAGGTAGCAGCATCTAGTCTGTGACGGGGTTGATTATTTAATAAAATCGTTTTTCCTATATCCATTGTATTAGCTCCTTCTGAGCAAATAATACAATCTACAAGAAGAAATTAAATATTTTTATTACTTATTTCCATAATTATCATTATAAAATATTGTTTAATTTAAATGGGATATGTTACTAACCAGATGGAATTATATCTTGAATATGTTTAAAAACGGCATAATAATTTAACGGTACCGAAACATCCATTGACATTTTCTGTAAAATAGGCAAAAAATGTTAATAATAAAAACAAAATATGTTATTTTTCAAACTAATATTAATACATGATGCTTACTTGAATTATAGCTCTATTTTTATTTGATTTGGCTAGTAAATCTTTCCACCATGGACTATTTTCTTCAACAAACCATTTACGTTCTTTCAAAATGGTAACAAGACTATCTACAGTTGTAGATATATCAGATTGAATTGCGATTGCAGAAGGAACAGAATTGTGCAGTTCCTCTGGACACAAATCGACCTAAAATATAAACACTGAATTTTCGTTCACTAAAATTATTTCATAAAAATAAAATTGTATTACCTGTATCATTTTAACATCAGGCTGGAAACGGGGTGGCTTGCCAAAGTGTAACATCCAATTTAATCTAGCACCTAGTAATAAAATGACATCGCTTTGTTGTAATGCAAATGTTCTAGCACTAGAAACGCATCGTTCATTCGTGTCTGGAACGACTCCTTTTCCCATCGGCATCGGGAGGAAAGGAATACCGGTTAAATATACCATATTACGGACTTCATTCTCTGCTCTTCCATAGGCTGCTCCTACAATCCATTTTTGCAATTATATATTGATCGGAAATTTTTTGTGTATTCTTTTATAATTAATAGCTCTCTTAATAATATTGTATTATTAACTACCTTTTCCTATAATCAACAATGGTTTCCTTGCTCTCATAAGCAAATTAGCTGCTTGTTGGACTAATCGTTGATCGGGAAATATCAGTGGCGGTGGTGGACACGATGCAACTTTATAAATGTTTTCTTTGTTGATTGATTGAATTAATAAAGTAGCTGGTAAATCCAGGTACGTAGCACCTATAAATATTCATAACGTAGGACCGCGCAATATTTTATATGTTTGCTAAAAATAGTATGCAGTGAATGTACCTGGTCGACCGTAGGTAGAAAGTCGGACGGCCTTTTCCACATGAAGCGGTATTACCGCTGCACACGGCGGCCGGGCAGCATATTTACAATAGGGTTTACTGGATTCTACCTGCGGCCATTCCTGAAAACCTCCGACGCCCTCATGATCTTGAGCACATGATCCACCAAGTACTATGAGCGGCCTGTTTAAGAATTTATAAATATGTAAATTACAATAATATGTACTAATAGTAGCATAGCAAAAAATTACAAATTGTTTTCCAACGTTTTTGCACCTTTTAACATGGTTCTTATACGACACGCTTTACATAATCATAATCTAATTTATATAGTATGTGTTTTCTTTAATAATATTGCACAATGAATGCGAAACTTGTTACGTAATCAACTATAAACGTTTCATGTAAGATTACTATTTTTTTTACGAGACGAAAGGTTTGTATATCACAGAAATGCATTAGTTGTAATCTGACAACAATATAAAGTTCTAAATCGTTGCAACATATTGCGCTAATGAATTTCCCACAGAAGATATATTAACTCTGCGTTTGCCTTCAGCTAGGACACGCACTTTTGATTACAAATTTTTATAATATGAACATGTTGCATTATATGGAATAAAAAAAACTTGAGTAAGACTCACCAGCAATTTATTTGAGCGTTCGCCATACCACCGATAACATGAAGCAATCCTGGTCCAGAAACGCACAGTACGACGGCTGGTTTTCCTAATCAGATTAATCTAATTAATACAAGGACCAAGGCGATAAAAAAAGATTATTATGGGCTATGATGAATTTTAATTACATCTTTCGATTTCTATTCTGGGGTTTATATTTTATGTTATGCTCTGTTTATATTTTACACTAATTATTCACACTTCTTCGCGCTTACTCGTTAAATATCCGTAAGCTTGCGCAGCATAGCATGCAGCTTGCTCATTTCTAAATCCAAGATATTGAATTCCCGCCATCTGTATGGATAGTGCTAGTTCAATTACAGGATGTCCCATTATACCAAAAGCATACTCGACACCCTATTAAAAAAAGAAGGAAAATGTGTAGTATTTCCAAAATGAAAAATTTAATAAAATAATTTTTATATTTTTAATATATTGTATAGCGTAATTAGTATGATGTGTTTTTAGAATATGTATGCATAATACGTGTATACTTCTAACAATGTTTCAGGTTGATACACGATGAATGAGAAATCGGCTAAAAGACGATAAGCTTTCCTGAAGAAACTAAGAGTACAATGGATAAGTTAATTACGCTTTTTGTATTTTGTATACTAAGAACAAGGATGATAAATAGTTATCTTGATGGTGACCAGTTATACAAATTTAAATGATAAAGCGAGTACAAATTCAAAGAATCGGAAGTTTCTACATAAATGTTTTGCTTGTATGTGTATTCGTTATCAAGAATGTTTCTGCGCGTTGCAGTGGAATGATAAATTTCTTGTATAAGTGTCTTATTGAAATAAAGGTTCGAATTTTGTTCATGATTCTTTAAAAACAACGCCATTTGTATTTTACTGCATTTTATATATTTTATTATACAACAATCAATTGGGAAAGTAATTGGAATACAATTAAATTAAAAGTTAGTTGGAACGAAAGGGAAATGTTCTGTCATGGTGAAGAGCGAGTTCCGCTTATATCACGAGTGAAGAAACGTAAGTAACTATTTATGAAGTCGTAACAATCATAATGATTTATGAGACAAAATTTGATCAACTTTGTAAGTTTATGTTACAAAATAAATATAAAATATCTTAAGAATATCTTAAGAAATAGATTATTCTTTGTTGTAAAATAGATTATTCTTTGTAAACGTTGTCTGTAACATAAGTTATATGTATTTAGATTGTACAATTTAAAAAGTTCATAGTTCATTTCGTAAGGTACAAGTCATAGATTCCTGAGAAATTTCTAATTGAACTTAATTAGTTAAATCTTCAAAACAAAACAAAAAGAAGACATGCTTTAAGAAACCTTTTAATTAATTTTAATTAAAATCAAAATTTTTAACATATTTTACCAGAAACATATTTTAAGAGACTTTTTAATTGAAGTACACTTCCTTTGAATTTTCTAATTAAAATTCGACCAATCGATTGCATTTATTAAAAAAAGATTTTATTAAAAACAGTCCTTGATAATGTTACAGGATAATGTCATTTGTCAGTTTATTGCATTCATATATGTCATAAGTGATAATCGCTTTATCATCTGATATGAATGTTACAATGGAATTTTTATAAATCTGATTTGTAATTTATGACAATTAATTCGTAGCTCGATCATAATTCTAATTATGATATTGCAAACAAAACTTGTCTAGGTGACTATAAGGATATATGTTTATAACATTAATAAATAAATACATTTCATAACCTTAAATGTCATTATGACAACAGTAAAAAAAAAAAGAAAAAAGCAGAAGGGACAAGAAAAACATACATAAGGTCTGATTACATACTTGTTCTTTTAAAGATTCCGCGGTTATTTGATTTCCGTTCTTCATTTTCAAATCGATTCCATCAATATGATTCGCACAATACGATGTTATACATTACCATAATTCCAAGCAACTGATAAATCTGGTGATGTACTTCGTACCCATTAACGACGCGTCGATGAATTTTATAACTAATAAAAAAAGAAAAAGTTCAATTTTCTTGTAATTTTAACGAACCTTTAGTAGACAAATTTCTGTTTGTGGTATTTACATACTTAAACATTAAATTTACCATGTAGAGATTGTTCCAAAAACGGAACACCTATAATCATTCGTAGTAATCATTTCCTTTAATTGCTAATGGGTTCAAGGTCATATTCGTCAGCTTTAAAGTCACACGTGTCCTTCAAGAAAAATAACAAACTTGTTTTTTATAAACGACAGAATTGATATCAATAAACACTTATTTATTTATCCAAATATGAATTTTAAATAATAAAATTAAAATAAATAAATAAAAATAAATAAAAAGTTAGAAAACTGGATTTTTTTATTAAACAAAAGGAAAGTTAATTTTACTGTAACATTGAATGTACGCCGTCGTTTGGGCGGCAGGTCATTTCTCGGACTGCTGTCTCTTTATTTAAAAGCACGTACCTGAACGGAGCTTAGTGCGAAAAGGATAACGGGTCTCCAAATTATGACTTGCAGGATACCTGAAACACGACCGTTCGAGGTTTGCAAGAGTTTTCCTATTCAAAAACTTTCACCGTTTCCTTTATTTCCGAATTGCCTTATTGTCAATGCCTAGCCTTCGAAAAATGTACTGCAGCGGAAATCCATGATTTATTACGGTATTGTGTTGCGAGTTACTAACATCTTCGTCCACAGGCGATTCCATTTTTAATGCATTATTTTCTTAGAGTAAATTAGAAGATTCGAGATGTAACTACATATTATATGGACTCCTATTTTTAAATAAATTTTAAAAATTAATTTTGAATATTGTATGAAAAATTTATTTAGGTATAGTAGGAATATCGAGTAAAAATCTTGTCTATAGTCACCACTTTAGAAACGACGAATATTTTACCTGCAGTTGACCTTATCTGAAGCTTGAAATTATCCTACAGGTAGACAGGCCCATTGAACACTTCTGTACACGGAACCGCGGATTTACTTGGGTCGAAGAATTTTGCTAAGAAATACACAATGTTTATTGTCCAAGGGTATAGAATAGTCCCAGCGGATAAGACAACCTACCGGTGAAAATGTTTCTTTTTCTTTTTTTTTATTATCTGATTTGTACTTTACAATTCGTCCAGCTGGACATTCGGTAAATTAACGGTTAAAATGTATAATTAATTCTTGTGGAACAGAGTTGTCCATGAAATTTTTAGAAAGTAGTTTGTATATTTTAAGCGTGGAATATTTTAACTAATAAATCACGTTTCTTCTCTTGAACTACGTATGATTATTCTCTGGAACTATTGTATGATTATTTAATTTACAGTTAAAACCTTTTCTATAAATGTTCAAATTGATACGGATGATTAACTAAAATTTAAAAAAGGAGAGATTAAGCTCCAGTGTTCATTTCAACAACGATAAATGGAAATTTCCCACGTGGGTTACGTAATCATCTTACCAAGACATCACGTATTTTTTTATCTAAATTTAAGATCAAATTTTATTTAATACTGAACAACTACCATTAATCGATGCAACATACGAGCATATAGTTTAATTGTTTCCGTTGCTTACCGTGATATAAGCAAAAGCGCATTTTAATTATACTCATAATTAAAAATATAACATAATTACAAATATTTCCGTTAAACAAAGAATTTAGCCTAAAAAAGTATTCGTACTCTCAATTTCCACAACGTCTTATCTTAATTTTTTCTATAAATTTAAGATCAACCTGTCTATCAATCAACGATCAGCTTTTATTCGATTTAATATTTTCAATTTCCTCCTTCCTTTTTATCAGAGTATGCTACTGATGCATAGCATCTTCTTTCAATTAAAATCGCGGTTTGAAACGGTAGCAACAGGGCGTGTTATCAATAGCCCGCTACCGTCGGGCGAAAATTTATCGGTGGCTATCGAACGCAATGATCTTTTGCATAACACCAGTCGAGTTAACGTGCCGCGAATATTTTAAGCACGCGCGATAATTCGAATCGATGTGTTCCATTTGGAACAACGATGAGATTCGATCGTGACATTCCTGTAAAACAAAATGTATCATCAACAAAATAAATCGCCGTTTAATATTTTGGCGAATAGAAACGGATTTACATTATCTGTTTCCACACGACACGGTTACGACACGGTAACGACACGATTACGTTCCAAACAAATATTCTCGTGGATATTAAGATAAGACTGTTCACCGTAGCGGATTCGTTCCGACACGTTACGTACGAAATGGGATCGGCACAAGTACGACAGAACATTGAAACATGTGTTTTAAACAAAACTGCTCACGCTATCCGTCACTGACCGATACGTGACGTTGCTGTTACGTGACGGTTTGCGCCGCATAGTATAAGTCGACCTTTATTCGTTCGGTGAAAAAATGCGGTAACGCTACATTAGAAAAGAAACCGACACAGAAATTCCATAGCCAGCGCACAAATTCGTGGTGCAATCTGCAGACCGCGGAATTACGTAAAATGACAAATTATTGAAAATTAAGGAAGCCTTGTTTCATGATGTCAAATCAGAGTCGCGCGAGAAACACGCGACGAAAAAAAAGAATGATCTCGACCTTTCGCATTTATGTTTCGTTCGGTCTTGTTTATTTAAATGCAAAATATTTACAATCCTAACAAAGAACGCCTATTTTGTAAATTTTTGTCAGATTGTTTTAACACAAGTGAAAATACGTATAATTAGAATTTTGCTGCAACGGCTCAAACAGCAATAGCATAACTGGACGATTTTTACAATTCAATACAATTGAGAATAAGAAATATTTGAAAAATTTTCAGTTAAAAATATTCTTCAAAGCTTTTGGGTCCCTGTGTAATGTAACAGAATGGTCAGTGGCAGGTCTGCAGGGGTGGCAAGTGTCGATCCCCAAATTTCGGTGCCCTTTCCTAACTTTTCATGGAAGGGATGTATATACCTGGCTCCCCCACTTACTCTTACCTACTGACTACTTAAATAAGCTGGCTGGATAACCAATGTCATCCAGTTACTCCTTCGGCAGTTTCCGATGTGTGTCGTGTTTGAAAGCTAGTTTTCGTAGGAATCGTTTTGTCCTCTGTTTTGCTTCCACGTCTTTCTCAAACGATGTCCTGAGGAAACGTCTCGAATATCGCGTTAGTTGGTGCATGTTGTAAATTCCTCTGCTGAAATCGCAGAATGTACAAGCATTATTACGAGAAGTTTTTCCCACGTGAGTAAAGCATGTATTTTCCTATTTCATTCGCCTATTTACTTTCCAATTTAAACTAAATTTCGAGAAACGATCGGATAGTTCGATCAGGAATCAGTTTTCACTTCTGTATTTTTCTCAGTCTTCAATGAAAGCGGTTTTCTGTTTTCAAACTGTTGCTACCGGCAGTACAAAGTCTGATCTTCGACGAATGTCGAAACTTGTATGTGTTCAACACAAATTCCATTCTTGTCGGCACAGTTTTCGAATCATGTCCGTTATTTAACCTTCTTACAATCACTTAGATTGCTTACTTAGGTCACTTAATTTTCCTTTGAAAAATCTCCATTATTTCTTGGAGCGGCCTCACTATCCATTTAATCAAAAAACTTTTTTTTATTGTTCCATATCGATTGGTCTCTGGATCATCGAGAGCCGATAAGATTAATAGTGTATAAAGATTAATATTGTTCAGTATTATTTCTTTTTTTTCATTATCATTGGATACTGTTTCCACATGGAAATCGATTGGTAAGTTGATTCGAGTATCCAAAGGAAACTTTCATCGGAATAGTACACAAAACGGAAGTAGGATCTGTAACAGGAGCAGTTTGAATTTTGTAAATAACAGCATACGGTAGCGATAGTTTGTAAATACTCAGCGGAATGTTTAGAAAGTGGTCGGGAACTTTCTTTGAAATACGCATTATATGTATGTACTAACTAGCTGTAACGACAATTACTTAGAGAAGTTTTTAATAGAACGTAATATTGTCTCCATTCTCCGCGTAAAAACTTCGATCGCTTTATGCTGAATTAAAATTTTTTAATTTAAAAATTTCATTTTAAAATTAGAATGTTTCTAATTTATATTTTTATACCAAATTAATTTCCTTTAGATCTTGATAATACACAAATATGAAGTAAATACAAGATCCGTGTAGCAATATGATTGAACACATAAAAGTTACATTCACGCGAAATAAGCAGATTTTATTAAAAAACAAATATCAAATTCATTGCTAAACATCGAGCGATCATAATCGTCATGGCAATCCGTCAAATTCTCTTCATTAATCACTGGTCAATCATAGGATATATTGCTACGTTTTTTTTTCAATTTTCTTTGATTCCAAATGTTCATCCTCAGATCTATCCAAGAAAAGGTAGCCGGTATACCCGGATTTTTTAATAATCCTGGCTCTCCATTTTGGAACTCTTTAAGTGAGTGAAAAATCGCGAAAGCGAGGAACATTATTTGAAGCTAATAAATTATTGTGTGGATTGCAAACATTTTGTCGGAAATAATCATTTTTCTAAACGAAATAACAAATAAATAGGAATATAGCAGTTGGACTTCAAAAGACTTTAAAATCAAAATACTTTAAACTTATTATCACCGACATTCTTATTTGTTGCAGAATGGATTCCGACAAGAGTTCTGATCTGCATAATGATGTTCACGGCCTGTTGGACCAACTACATGTGCCGTCTGCAAATGCCAATCCTCGCCGTGCCAATGATCAAATCTCTACCGGGTAACATAACCGAGGGTGTCTGCAGAGCCGAGCAGTCTCGAGTTCGCCGCGCGATTTCTTGGTTGGATCCGGGCGCCTATCTGGAAGACTACATCCTGTCAGAGAGGATAGAAGCTACACAAAATGCAGTGGATGCAATGGCACACAATATTCGTGTACGCAGGAATAATGACAAAGGAAAAATTCGTCCAACAAATATACAACTATTTAATGGCCTACCTTTCGACTGGAGGCCTGAGATTCGCGGTCAACTGATTGCTGCATACAGTTACGGAAATGTTCCTGGTAACTTCATCGGTGGCTTGATGGCTGTCAAATGGGGTGCTAAGCAGTCGATCTTGTGGACATCCATAGTAGCCGCTATAGTGTCGCTGATCAGCCCGATTCTTGCGCAGCTTCACTGGGGAGTTCTTCTATTCTCAAGAATAATCATCGGTGTTACTGGTGGAGTAACTTTTCCAGCCTGTCATAGTTTGGTTGCACAATGGGCACCACCGAACGAGAAGGCCCGTTTTGTTTGGTCTTTACTCGGCGGTACGTTCGGTACCATCTTAACGTATCCTATGGTAGCTGGCATTGCAGAAAATATACACTGGGAGAACGGATGGTACATTCCATCGCTACTAATGATGATTTGGATATTCTTCTGGGCTGTAGTTACGTACGATACACCTGCAGAGCATCCTGGTATCTCAGATGAAGAAAAGGAATACATTCAAAGGTAAATATAGTTGAACTAATACCATTTCAATACTATACTTTTTGTTATTTGCTTTTGTTGATAAAAAGTTTGCCATTGGTTGATTACTAACTTATTCTTATATAAATTGTTCTGTAAATTTTTCAGTTCGCAAGCAGGTACAGTGAGGAAAGAAAAACCTTCACTGAAGGAAACTCCAGTCAAGGAAATATTTACCTCGATACCTTTCCTCAGTTTAGTCTGCTGCCACTTCGGGAATTTGTTTCTTTTATTCTTCTACCAGAATGCCATGATGCTTTACTTAACGAAAGCTCTAGGATTCGAATTGACGAAAGGAGGTGTAGCTGCTAGTCTGCCTTGGGCTTGCAGAATGTTGTTCGGATTTTTCTTTAGTTGGGCTGGTGATACGCTCAAGCGGAAGGGAACAGTCTCTGTTACCATGATACGTAAAGGCGCCACATTCTTCTGTAAGTAATCTAATTTCGATTTTCATCAAGAATAGAAATGACAGTTTCTTTTCTTTTGTTGCAGCCCATTTTTTGCCAGGCATCTTCCTCATTCTAGTCGGCTACGTTGGATGTGACTTAATTCTCGCGAACATTTTTCTCGTGCTGGCATTAGGTTTCAATGGAGCAGCGAGTATCTCTAATTTGTCCAACAATCAAGATCTATCGCCGAATTTCGCTGGCTTTATATACGGTATCATGAACACAGTTGGTTGCGCTTCTGGCATGATTATTTCTCCTATGGTGGAGGAAATAGCTGGAAAATACGGAGTAAGTAGCATTCTATGTCATTCACTGTGGTATGGTATGTATTTCTTGCTAGCTTTACTTTGCATCTGCTTATCGCTTTTTCGCAGCAGTTGACAATTTTCGTGAGAAATCACATGTTAAATTATTTGTACAAATTACATAACTTTTTTTGGTCGTGTGTCGTCATCATAGAGAGACGAATATCTTGTTACAGCCGAGTTGTTGACGGGCAGAGGTGCTCTTGGCATATTCGAAACCTCAGTCCAGCCATGTACTATGTTACGTAATTCATAGTACGGGCAGTACTGAGGAATCGTGTCTGCGATGCATTCAAAATGAAACACAACACAAAATTTCACTATGATCGATTTAGGATTTCTCTTAGCTAAAACAAGCTTTATTCTTATATCCTACTTTTGCAATTCATTTCTCTACCGTTTAAATAATTAACATGTTATTGGATATGTAACATATAATTCGAAGTACATATTCTGTAATTTTCGCATCATACATGTGCATAAAGTATTAATTAATGTGTCAATATCAGTAAGGTATACAGTGTAGGAAATTGCATAAGTCAAATAGAAGGCTTTGCCAAACTAATCCTCACATGCATCCACATACTCGTGATGTCGCCTCGTGGGTACTAGTCGTCTCTATATTATCAAATTTATAGTACGAAAAGTACCTATAAGACGCATCACTAGGTGATTCATCCATACTGCAGTATAACATTTTGCTATTTTCATCACTCTTAACAAAGATGTGCAAGTGTATCGGTATGTGTATTCCAAATTTATGTACACTACATATATATATATATGTTAACGCTTACGCTTATATAAATTTGTCTATATAATATGTTATTTTTATTAATTTATGAATATTTTCATCCTGTAGAGAATTATCTTGATTTTATACACAATTGCCTTTTTCTTTTAGAATCCTATTGACAGATGGCAAACGTTATTCTGGATTGGTTCGGGCGTGTGCATAATTTGTATGATTATCTTTCTGTTGGGAGGAAGTGGAAATATCCAAAGCTGGAATGAAATTCGAACCCAACCGGATGCAGAGCGCGGCAGAAACTAATTAAATTCTGACTTTTACATTTTTATTAATATTGAATATCTTAATGTGAGCGCGATCTGATCAAAAACAAGTATTAAGATGTACTTTCAATTTCACATCTATAAAAACTAGAATTACATTTTATATTATTTGAGACGTTAACAACTAGAACAAATTATCGTGGGCCGAAGAATATTGTAAATATTTTAAGTTGGTCAACGATAGCTATAATGCAAAATTTTATTAGAATTTGAACTGACGAATTTTATATACCAAATGAAACTTAATTTTTTATATGATATAAGAATTGTTATTAAATGTTTCGTTATTAAATAAATTTATACGATATTATCATTCACTTCTGCCATCTCAATGAAAAATATTTCATATCAATATAATGAAACGACTATATTTACACATAAAAATAAAGTATTTATGCATGAAATTGAAAGACTGCATACGAAACGTACAATATTTATTTTCAATTTAGTGTCTTAGTCTTTTGTACATTAGCTAAATTTGAAATTTTTATGCAATTAAGTCTTTATTACATCAGAGAATAAGAGTAATTTATTTGATATTGCAAAATAAGAGGAAAAGGAAGTAAATATTGTAGAGCGTATGCATAGCATGAAAAGAATCACTTTTATTTGATAAGAATTTATTAATTTATTACACACTTATCATCACAAATACTTTATTTGAAACTATTAATTTTATTAATTTCACTTACTAATAATTATCCATAATAAGATTCCAATTCGTCTTTTGATAAAATACACGATTGTTTTTATAAATAAGTTAAAACTTTTTGCATACTTTAACAGCGATAAAGCAACAATCTCTGTGCACACTTCATGCCAACTAAACTAGTATATTCTTTAATCTCATCTTCTTCATCTTGCGTGATAGTTTGAGCTTGCTTTTTATAGATTTCATACGGCATCGCAATTTGCCGATACAAAATTAATACCTGGAGACAAATGACATTAATTACAATAAATTAAACAGTTTGTAATACTAGATATGAAAATAACGTTGTTTATTACCTTACGAATATCAACTATATTATCCTCGTTAATAGCATCAATATCATCATTCAGTCTGCTATATTTTTGTTTATCTAATTTTAATAAACACGGTTCAATATCAAACCACGCATAAGTTTCAGGACATAATAGTTTTGATGGTCTCATTCGTGCCTTGTATCGCATTTTAGGACATGAATGTATGTAGAATCCCATGTAGTAATATTTCAGATCTTTTGCAATTTTATTTAATTGTCTTGTTAAATAAACTTCTCGAAGTGAACTAAATAAAATATAGAAAGTTAACAATTTATTGGAGATAATTTAAATATCAAAACGTGCCAAATGTACCAACCTAAATGTGCCAAGTGAGAGATGAGAATAAGCCGGATCATAAAAAAAGTAAACGCTTGAAACACAAGATGGTAAAATATCTATCACACCAACTGCAATTAATTCATTATCTAACCAATATTGTTCATGAAAAGAACCATATCCACTTGGTGGTCCATCATCTGGTGTCCATGGCTTCAAAATTATAAACTCCTTATTTGTATATATTCTTTAGCCAAAGCAATGAAATTTTTAAGCAATATTTAATAAAAAGGATTGTAAAAATATCATACATAATTTTGTTAAACATTTTAATATATTAACGAACAACATGAACAAATATTTCTTTTTATGTCATATAAGATTAGATTATAAAATCAGATTGAGATAGCAACCTGAATACGAAGTATACCTGTAAAGAACTTTTTACAAGAAAGTTGAAGAATGATTTATCATCTGACTCCTTTTCTGTTTCACCATGAATAGTCATTTGATATTTTTTAAACAGGTTTGCACTTATTTTAAGCGTTTTAATAAACTCGTCCGACATTGTTCTCACCAACTTCATCTGATGAATTTAAACAAGTGAATAATACTTGATGAACACAATGTACAGAATACACATTTAAATGTGGTCCACCTTGCTCCAATTAAGCATTGTTTCAATTATTCAATTTTCAAAACAGTATTTTATATACATATTTCTTAATTAATATCTAATAATCTGTAATACTGTTGTATAACTATCTACTTTAACAATAATTATGTACGATATTATGTAAATGAAAATAAAAAAATTGTAAATCCTTCTTTAACAAGTAAAGCTCTAAGATAGCTCAGCAGGAAATTATAGAAATTGCAAAATTACCTGTAAAGGTGAGTTCACAAGAAATCCCATATATTGCATCTCTGTAACCTTCTCTGCTAGAACTCCATGTATTGTTGTTTGATATTTTTTATATACCTCATAAGATTGTTTTGAGGTATTTAAATATCCAGAGCTCATTGGTGAAGTTCTAACTAGTTTTAGCTAATAAAAGTTGTAAATTTTACAAAACTTTATCAAAATAATTACGAAATTGAACTAACAATGAACTAATAACGAAATATTGTAACTGAAATGAACAGTTAAAAAAGTATGAAATAGTAAAAACATCATTCGAGTATTTTTCAATATTTCCCTACCTACTTTTTAAATATTAAATAAATTGGAGAAAAGAGGACCAACATTTATAGAAACCCATTTGCATGCAACATTTACCGAACTTGATGGAATAAATGTGTATCTACCTCTAATCTGTTGGTTCCATTATAAACTTCATCAAATATTTGCTCTAAACTTTTAGCCTGGTTTTCTTGTTTATTTTCTTTGAAAATAGCTTCTATTTCTTCCTGAGTTTTTCCTTGTGTCATTAATTTGTTTTGTTTTCGTTGTTTACGTAAAAGCTTTGCTTTCATACAAGGTATCCGAGTAGGATTCATTTCTACAGATTGTAGACTTTGAGGTGTACTATGAGAATCATTGTTATAACTTGATGCAGCAGGTACACTTTCAGAATTATGTTTTTTATTTTCTAGACCATGCTTTTTCTGTCCTCTATCTGATGTGCTAGGATGTAACCTTGCATTAACTTCATCACTAATAAATTTCACATTCATATCAGAAATATCTTTGTCAACTTTTAAAAAGTGCTTATTGTGATTAGGAATTTCTTCAATATCTATGAAAAATGGTTTCATAAAATCACATGTTAAAGTGCATATTGAATAATAATTTAACATATTAAATCTTTACCAATGTTATGAAAATCTCCATCGTACGTATCCATAGTATCATCTTTATGTAATTCATTTCTTAAAAACTTTGCCATTCTTTTCAAAACCTTTTTTTGTGATTTAGAAATTTTAAATTGTAATGCTTCACATCTATTACAAATATTTATATATATATAAAAAATTTGTAATATAATTTGTAATAATATATACATGTACATATTTTTTAATATGTAGGAAATTCGTTTTTAAAACATTTTAGAAGTTTTAATCTTACTTAATTGTATACATTGGGCAACATGTTTGATCCATTGTAGATTTGTAACAATAAGAACCACACCTTCTCCAACCTCTATCTACTAGAGCTTGGTAATCTTGCACAGTCAATCTATGTGTACCCATACCTAAAATGTACTACAATTAAGATAAAGATGCAATACAAGACATATTATTCAAATAACATTGACGCATTAATAAATGAAACTTAGCATGACAAGAACAAAAATTATACATGTGTGAAATAATCATTGAGACTACATAACCTATTAATAAAAGTATGAAATACTGTATATATAAGTAAAATAATTTAAAATAAAAATCCATAATTGATATTTGCTGTATGCTTTGATACTTGCCATGACTGAAATTTGTGTTTGGGCTTTTGCAATAACCACATTTATATCCATCCTGTTCACCATAATACTCAACAATACTGTACGATTGTCTTGCCATATTTTGTTCTTTATTCACTCGTTTTATTATTGCATTGATTACGATGAATTAATTATCAACAAAGATCATGCAATCCACTTATTTATTACTCAACATATATATCTATATTAATAAAATTGACACCATCACGTATTTAAAAATCCAATCTACTAAACGGAAAGCGGTATTGCCACAGCCATCTTGTCATTTTTGAATAATGTTATTGAAATGCAAACTTCGCAATGTGAAATTAAATATTTCCTTTGTTTACATTTCTCATTCAAATGTTCTTGAACGTGAAATCAATAAAAACGTGTTGTGTAAACTTAATTAAAAAATTCACCATTTAGTATCTAGTATCTATAAATATAGAATTGCAAGATACAATTTAGGATAAATATTATGCATATGTATTTTCTAATGTAATTATATTTATAATAACATAAAGCTTGAAAGTTAATAACTCTACGTGGAAATAATTGAGAAGCTAGAATACTGATACTGGAAAACACAAATAATATGATTATTTCTAGTAAATTAATAAATAATTATTGTATAACTATCACTCATTAAAAATACAAAAGTCTTTCAATTAAAATATAACATCATATCGATTTTTTAAATTAATCAGCAATTAAAATAATTTTTAATTATCGCAAAGATCTAAAATGGTATAATGCGTATACATTTTACCATTTTCATGAATGAAACTATGCCTCTTTTACAGCAACAGGCGTTTCTTACTACACAGAGTGAAACATCGATCTATTCCTTCGGGATACCCCCCTTCAAGCTGCTGGTTACAGTTTCCACTTCACAGGGTAGTATCAACAACCTGAAATACCTGCCCCATCATGGATTTATACTACTGTATCCGGTATCACACATTCATTTATCATGTAGTTGAAATTTATTATTTTATTAAAACTCTTTAAATTTCTTCAACCTCTAACAATTATTTTTATAACAAATAATACGAAAAACATCCAAGTTCATTTCCTGATATTAAAAATAGTAAATTTCTGTTTTAATATTTTGCAATCTTAATTCCTGTCTTAAGATGAAACAGAATAATCTCCTGCAAGTTGTAAGTCTCCACGAATACATATAACGATAGCTCAAAGCTTAATAAGTTAAGGATTTCAATAATTATTCGTATGAGAATTAAAGTATAATGACAATGACTTAAAGCTCAACTTATTATTGCTAATAAAAGCAGATATAGTAGTAATTTATTACCTACAATTATTATCAACGAATAAATTATTTTGATGCTGGTATTCGTACAACGTCCCTGAATACATCCATGTTCCCCTCCCACGAATCATTTCCTCGCGACGCGTATGCCCCCCCACTAAGTTTTCGAAGCGCGGGGATTCGTCGTTTCCAGAATCAACGGCTGACGTCAATGGGAACAAACCTTCGGATCGAGCACGTCGAATGGTATTATTTCACAGAACTCGCCCCGTAATTACAATGATGGCATCGGGTCCTATCTTAGTCGGATGTATCTATCCTCCACGGAATACTCAAACTTCTGGCAAATTTACGAAAATAAACCTTTCTCTTCGCCTGCCAAATGCATAAATTGCGACCCGCAAATTCGTTCTGAAGTTCAAAGAAAAAATATCTCCCTCGGCAATGGTTGGGGGTGTGGCATTAATTTTTCTCGATACTTCGGCAAAAATTAACGACGGTCGCGTGCTTCTATTCTTCCTGACCTTTCGTATTTTGTGTCCCTTTATAATGAAATACAATAAAGGAATATTTTGTACTACTTTTTGAATATTGAATGAACAATATGATTAACATCCTTCTGAATCAAAAAAGTAGAAAAATTGATATTAAAGATATCTTTTTTTTTTCTTTGTCATCGTTAAGTAATAAATCTATTGATATCTATTAGAGATGGCTGTCTTCGAGCATCTATCATACACGCCCCCGTAATTGTATCACCGCAAACGTTGTTAGTTGGCTAGAAATCCGACCAGGTGAGTTATACTTGTTTTTGTGCAACTACTTCAATTCGCGCAAGCGTGCAGTCGATTCTTTGGAAATAGGTCAATTACTGGGGCACGTAGTGCGCTAGGATGCGTCGTATTTCAAGTTAAATACTTTGCTAAAGCGGTTGTTTCCGAGAATTTGCCGACTCTTTTTGGAGAGTTATGGCTAAGTACATAATTCCGTGCTGCTGCTCTCTTCTTTGTCCACTTGTTGTTGCTATCTGTTTTCTGAAACGATGGCAACGAACAAATTAAAAGAGGACAGATTAAAATATTATGCACCCAACTTGAATGGATTTCCATTTTCTTCTAGAGTAAAGAATAATTTCTTCCTCCTCGTCAAACACGTCAAATTCTTGATTATTCATGAGAAAATTACATCTTGACAAGATGAAGAAAACATGACAGAATTCAAGAGCGCCTTGACTAAGGATATGACATCGTAAATATTTCAAAAATCTTCATCGATGATAAATACTTCGTCGCAAGAACATGTGAACGTCAGCATGACGCTGAGGAGAAGAGAAGAAAATTTCGCACTTCGGTTGATCTCTCTTCTCCTTCCCAACCCTCCCTCTTTCTATCATACGCCATGGAAAATATGTGTGGGCGTTGGGTGCTCGTGGGCGTTATACGATGGCGTAGGCGTTTGGCCTGTTGCGGGGGCTGAAGAAAAGTGGCCGGGGACTGAATACGGAAAACGGTGCTACAATTCCTCTTGTACAGCCCACCACTCCACCGCTTGCGTTCGAGAGACAAAAGAAAGTACGGATTTGCGACAAGGACCAAGAAAAAACGATCCACGATATTGCTCGGAAAATATTCTTCCTTCAAAGATCGAATGAATTTCGGTCACAACATTGACTTTGAGAGAACACGTTCTAATTAAGAAGGATTATGCCTCATCCTGCTTTCCTCAATGAAAGCTAAATATCCCTGTTGTGTAAAACTATCTTCACCTGTTTATGTACTACTATAAACAACGTAAAAAATTTTACTAAATCATCCTATTATAAAAGTTCCCTAAATAAAACTTCCTTAAAATCTAGAACACATTATACGATGCCGGTTTTATTAAGTAGAATTAGGCTTAATCGAAACAAGATGCCACCGAAAAATTACTAGAAGACTTCTCCTCTTTAAATGGCGAATTCTGAAGATAATACACATAAGATGTGACATAAGAGACGATTTCAAGGATAGCCTGAGGATCTGGTCAGGCCATCGCGTGGGCAGACGTATTTTGTGGCACAATGGGAGTGTGTACATGTTCCGCGTAGAATGTCCATATAACCGTGCGCGTGTGCACGTCATATCACTTCGTAGAGACGCGGTAGGGGTTGCTTTCAGGGTAGGGGTGCTCGCCCACCAAGGTGGGGGTGGTTGATCGACCGTACCCTCTGCCAGTTTTCTAGTCGTCCTGCTCAGCCTCGACGTTCATTCTACGTTGATCAGCCGAACTCACTAGTTCTCTGCATCTTTTGGAGAAACGCTCCCGTAAGAAGAAATCTGAGAAGACTGACCAGAAACCTAGAACGAAGAGAATAGTCGACGTTAAGTAAGGTGAAGGAACCAATCTTTCAATTGTTACATCTGGCCCTTTCGAATACTAATATTTTTGCTTGAAATTTGAATTACGACAGTGATCCTTCGATCGATTTAATTGGCCAACTTTCGTAAGATAAAGACCCGCTAAAATTATACGGGTATAAATAGGAGGGTAAGAATAGAGATTGTTCGATCACGATGATTTCTTATCAGCGATATAATTATATTTCCTCGAACTTTAGTTCTAAAGATAAAAAATTAATCTGATTCAAAGTTTCATTAGAATTTTGTTTCATACACGCGTACATTTAATAGCTTTAATTTGAAGACATCTTTAAATTATAACATGTTTGAAACGGGTCTATAATTTTTAGTGTTAGATTGTTTGTTAAAAATTCGTGAAAATTGTTAAAACATATTTTATCGAGGCAAGTAATATTAATACCATACATGCGTCTGGATTTGTCAATGAAAGCACAGTCAATGAAATGTATTTTTAATTGCGAGTTGCATAGACGCGTATACAAACGCGATAAATGACTATAGTATTTCTAGACGCAACAAGTGTGCGATTTCTGGGTCTACTATATCCGGTTTAACTTTATTTCCTGGCCAGATTTAATTGCTCAATACTATCACTAGCATCATATCACAAACTCTTTTTTGCATTTATTAAGCTTAGAGAATAATTATCACAGAATATATGATATTTTTTAAAACGAAGATAACAAAGATGAAACGGAAAAATAATACAAACGAGTGAATTTTTCGTGTAATGTTTACATTACATATGTACATATATATGATTAAAACATCCTTTTGAACTTTGACATTTCAAACTAATGGAATGTCTATAACGAATAGTTGATTATGAGTCATGAGCTTCGAAGCTACCACTGCCTTTGCTGAGATTTAGTTAATTGCATATCTAATTAGCGAAAACTCTCGTGTATCGACGTAAGCTAATTGCGTGTATGTTGAAAAGTACATGTAATTTGTTATTTGTTAAGACTATAGAGATTCCAGAATCTGTTTTGTAGTGAGATTCCAGTTCACTTCCCACGAAACATACTAATAAACGATAAATTACAATTAATTCTACTTCACGCAACCGATTCACGTTTGTTCTTCAGACTGCTGTCAAATTTAATTTATTTTTCGCTATTAAGAAATTTATTATTTTCTCAAAATTGTGAAAAATTAGATACTATTATTTGCAGTAGAATGTAATTTAAATTGTTACTTTAACGGAAAAAATAGTGAATCATCGACTATTCTTCAAGAGAAAGACTTATCATCTTTATCTTCACGAAATCATACAAACATTTACTATTTCCTATCGAACTTCCGACATGTATGCCCGTTAATTTTTTACGTGCAATGGAAATAGATTCCTGACATTTCGCATTATGTGACATTTAAGCTTCTTTCATAGTGACCTGCTATCTTCATTTACTTCAGCTTGTAAGGGGTGTAAACTTCGATCTGTACAAGAAGAGAAGACTTTATAGCAACCATACTTCTTCTAACTGCACCTTTAATCAATTTCACATTTGATTAAAGGGTCAATAAACTTTTGCTCATAATTAATAAAGAAATCTTTGATTTCATCTTTTTAATAAATCTCACAGATTAGTTAACCAAAGTTTAAGTCAATAATGGACCAATCAATTTTTTCAGATCATGTGTGACTGGGTGTGGTTACTAACTCTATATTCCCTCTTCGTGCTAGCACAACCTTTGCCAACGAATCTGGCAGAGGATGCAAAGAAGACTGAACAAACAATGAGACCAAAACGTAAAGCATACTATGTTTTCTGTAGTTTACAACACGATTAATGATTTGTTCACTAAACGTTTTGGTTTCAGCTAAACGGGCACAGGAAATGTTGATGTACGGCAACCAACAGAATCGTCAGCCGGAGAATAAACCAAGCTCATCTTATTCGTCTACCGTGGAAAAGAGTAAGTATAAGTAATGAGTAACCATTTTCAATTATCTTTAACACCTTGTAACTATTTTAATTTATAATTAATCTTTTAATCCAAGGAACTCTAGCTGCATCAGGACTAGGTGGATTGAAAGCAGCCCTTACCGAGAAAGAAAAACCATCTCATTCTAATGCACCTAACAACGTTCTCTACGACCATGATTCCTTTTCTCCATTTGATAGAAACTACGAGTTGGTATTCTCAATAAATTAAAATAGCTCATTTTTTAAATTTCACATCAAAGTGAGTATTAACTAATGTATAACTTATTTCTGTTTCTGTTTCAGCGGATATGGAAAAATCCTGATGAACGAATTTGGATATGAGATGCCTCAATGGGATGTTCCGTCGTACTCTCGTTACTACTTGAACGATGATCGTCGGAAGAGATCCGAGAAATCAACAGTCACCGGATCTACCACCATGAAACCGTCCACGACCACTTCCTTCCAGTCTCCAACATCTTCTACTCAGCAATCTATGCAGGTGCAAGTAAAGAGAAGGTGAGTCAATCGTATTAATTTTTTTACTATTATTATTAAACGGAAAAAAAGAAAATAAAGGAAAAAGTAGAAAATTATAAAAGGAATTTACTAAACAATTTAAATCTGATTGATCGATTGTTCGATCAATTGTCATACTATCTACTTCCTTCAATCAGTTTAGAATTTCGTCAAGTTGTGAATATCGTTTACGAGACATTTATATCATATTGCTTCTATTGTTTGACGATTGCGTTCCACGCAGATGAGATTAGGATGTGTTAGGGCGAATTCACCTGTAGAACAAGCTGCCTTGGGCAGAGTGAATCGACTCGGTAACCAGTCTGTAATTCCCACCCCTGCGAGAACTCACCCTTCCCGCCCTCTTGCTCGGAACATCCCTCTTTTTCTTCGACGTTTCTTCTGAATGGGGATGAGAGGGCTGGTGAGGGCGTTGCCCTCGGCAGAAACGGCGGTGGACTTGACGACCAAGCCGGTTCAATACGACTTCGAGAAGCTGTCGTTATCGAAGTTGATCTGCAGAGCATATAGGATTGGTTTTCTCCTGCCTTGATCTACAATAATTTTTAGCCTATAACAAAAAACTATATATACACATAAAATAGTATAGAATAATTGTAAAATATAAACACGATATTTTTCTTTCTTTTTTGTACGTCTCTTCTCTTTAACAACAGACTATATATATATACATTCGATGGTATAAGGAACCTCTAGATGTTCCGATTCAAATCGGAAGTCGATAGTTTCGTAACGAAGGCTATCGATGGTATTTATAGCGTTTACATAGAATCGTCATCGTTAAGTAAGTGACGTAGACGACGACGCTGTACGATACGTCATAGAATGATCAATTACTTTGAAGCTCCTTACGTCAAACTTTTATTTTTACTCTCAAACGTAGTTACAAGTGTGAATCGCCTGACCTGTAAATAAATGTCACAGGTCACTTTGTGCACATGTACGCTAATACATTTATGGTCGAGCTAATTTCCATTAAATAGAAAAAATGATTTAAAAGTAGGCAATTCTGTAGATTGAGCGTAATTCTAATATTTGACTATAAGTTGTTTCTCTATTTTTTAGCATAAAAGATGGCTTTTACGACCAATTGGTTCTTGGTAATAATATTTTGTTATCGGGCTTAATAATTCTATATCAATTCCCTTGGTTGTCAAGGCATCAAAGGAAAAAGGAGGAATAATTTGCAGGTATTGCGAAATCAATGTGACAGAAAGCAGCAATGTTATATATGTAGCACATTTTAAATATTGTACTTGAGTTACATTTCAGCAATAGAAAAAGATACAAAAATTCGATATTAAATATTAATTAATTTATATTTACATTAATAAGGGGAAAAGTTAGTAAAGTATAAAGATTATATCGTTAGCGAATTTTATATATCTCTATGATATAATTGAATTAATTAAAATTTGCAAACGATAATCGAAGTAACGAACTTAACGGTTGCAAGAACTAATAACGTAGTATGTACATATAGTACGAAGAAAAAGTTATCCTCGAAAAAAGTTTTACATGTCCCACAAAGTGATCGCGTCAGCTGAAAAATTTTCCAATAAACTGCTCACGTTCACGAGAACGTGCGAATTCTCTCACAGCGATGTACGTACACGTATTATATGCACAGTTTGGCGCAGTCATCGAGACGTTCGATACTTGTGACGCAATAGGGTAGCTTTCCAAGGGTTGGGTCCACGAAAAGTTGAATGGAACCAGCCAGTAAAACTAGGTCAGACTTAACTATTACTTGACATATCGCTAGCCAATCAGCTGACGAGAATAGGCTCCTAGTTAGCGCCGACTCCATGAGATGCAGTAATTCACGGAGTTTGCCCGGAATTTATATTCAACTAACTAAATACAAACTAGATTCTACTTAACAATAGATACTATTGTTATCGGAAACTCGAAAAATAAAAGTTCAGTTTTTGGATATGCAAAATATGGAACCTAGAATCATTAACTTTCGACCAGATGTCCACGAATCATTTTATTTCTTTCGTCCTTTTCCATGGATCAAGTAAAATTTCGAATTAATTAGTCGAAATCAATTATTTTTAACGTTATGGTTTGTTTGATCTATATCTTTTTCTGTTCAATCTCCCGCCATGTTAAAAAAGGTATTCACGATACATTTCGAACAGTTTCCCTGTTCTTTGTTTATCTTACATGAATGTATAATACCAAAGAAGTAAGTGGAAAAGCTGAATGAAACCACCTGACGAGTCAAATCGTTTTGGCATATGGCCAACCAATCAGCTGATGATATTAGCCGGTTTCGTCATATCGATCATCCACAACAGAGGATGTACCAAGCATGCTCGGCGGACCTGACCTAGGACAAATCCTATCAGCGCAAACGCGTGCAATACAATCTCCTCGTCGCGTCGTATTGGCGGCTCAGTATCGTCCTTTTGTTTGCCAGTTTTTTCCATTCAACGTACCTCGCGTACTGATCCTCAATGATACTGTGCACGCATGATTGCATTACATGCAATAAATGCGCTTTAAACTCAACCTCCATAGAAAATCGATATTGTTCAGAAATACGAGCCTCAAATGACTGCCAGATTATCCGAATATCAAGGAGAACTCTATCCGAAGATATATATATATATATATATATATATATATGATTTTACAAATTAATTTTTTTTTATTTAAATATGTTTCAAACATGAATGTTGGATTTTCAGCGTCCCGATTTATCAGGAACCACGATTTAAGAGAGAATTGGATATTGACCCGCAAGATGTTTTAACACTCCTCTCCCTCTGGGAAAATGAACGCCACAAGCGGTAATAATAATATACATATGTGCCATTAACTGTAAACAATATAAGTATCCTGGGTTTTAATTCAATTAAAATATCTTCACAGAAACTGGCATAAATATATGGACGATGAATATGAAAATGTAGACGATGAAGACAACCTTCTTGAAGAAGAAGATCCTCGAAACAGTAAGTCAAAAATATTTTAAAATTGAATGTATTGATATTGTTTTTATATGTTTAACATTCTGAATTATAACTTTGCAAAGTCATTCCTTGGATGGATTCTTCGGCGTATCCCCCTCGACATTACAGCGTAGAGTCTTTATCACCGGCAGATATTGGAATCGTTCGTACTCATCCATCCAGCTATTACGAACAATACGAAAATCAGTACGGGCAACAATATGATGCGACTTCTCAATACGGCAGTCCTCAGTTTGGTTTGGTTTATCCTCAACAGACTTACTATAATACCCCCGAGAAAAGGTTTATGGTCTCCAGGAAACGCTCGCAGGTAATACATCCGATGAACTCTAGAAACAATTCATTAATCTACAAATAAATGATCCTGAAAAATATAAAGTATATTTAACTCATAATAAAATTTCTAAGATTCTTCGATTTAGAATCGTATTGATATTTCATTCGATTTACAGACGTACGATCCTTACTCCAGCGCAGCTCAGTTTCAAATAAATCCCCAATCACGGGGATACCCATACCAACACCATCTCATCTACTAAATCGATATCAACTCGACGAACAGCAACAAAATTAACACGAAACTATCGAGAATGTATTTGAAGAAAGTGAAAGATCCTATCGATAAAACGCGGAAAGAGGGTAACGAACTGATGTTTTCGGACTCATGTATACGCAAAGAGGAACCAGACAAAAATTTTGGGCTTTCTTGGCGAATGTTCCCTCTCTGACGTCTTCTTCATTTGACTATTCTGTCTTTATTATGAACACAGCGGTACGTGCTTGAGAAAGACTACACTTATTTTAACAAATACGGTGCTCAGAAAGACTATTCATAGTTTACAAGAGTCTGCTGAAGAGACAATAGTTCTTTTAATTAACTTCTTAATCGTGTGGTCACCAATCATCGAAATGAGTAACGAAGAAAAATTTGAGTAATATTTTTTCAACATCTTTCGAAATCCTTCAAAAGTATTAAGAGAAGCCGATGGATATAGAAGCGTCTTTGGTTTCAATGTACTCTTGTATTTTTCCGCAGAAAACGATGAAACTTTAAGGCGCAAGAAAAAGGCACAGCCCGCGCGATGACTGAAATCGTTGAAAATAATCGTAGTTACTCGAATCAAATTACCCTCAAACTTGGTTCATGACTTTTCTGACTGATTAAAAAGAGAGAAAGACGACGAATAGTTTTTTTCATGAATTAGCTCGAAGATAGTCGTAGCACAAGATCTAATAGATAAACATAGTAGGTATGAGAAAATGATTAATATGAAATGAAAAGATGAAACGATACTTCTAATTCGGTGACCTAGAGAAAGGTAGATGATTTCTTAGCAAAATTTAGAGCGAAAGATGATGCTGAAAATATTTTATAACTTTCTCATTACGTTTCACATCTACGGATATGTATATCTTGTTATAAATATATATACATATACCTATAATATGTCGAGAAAAATGAGCAAAGTAACTGAAGTTCGATCAAGCTTGTTTATACCACTATTATATATTTCAACCCCTTAATTTACTTTGCAAGAGGCAAGAGATAAATGTTAAAGGTACACAAATACATGAAATATTGAAGCACGGTGTATATTGAGTACTGCAAATATCAATTTGAATCCAATGAAATCGTCGGTATTTAGAGTTATAACAACATATCTTCTACTGGATTCATATCTTATATTCAACGTGCCGACATGACCGATAATTCTCAATCCCCCCTTACTTTAAACATGATCGTCAATTAATTTTTCTAACCGTGTACAAAATACATAATCGCAACATTCATCGTCAGTGAAGTATTGATGAGTGTCAATGCATATTTCAATGATATTCACTTCTATGGCTGACTAAATAACTTTCGAAAATAAAAATTTCACGACTCGATTGTAATCCTCGATGATTATCGTTTCCAGTTGTTTGACAAACATTATTGTTGAATGATACTAATAATTTCTATTACGAGTTGGCATTAATAGAAAGCAATCACGTTAACAATGTCTTATCGTAAAAGTATTTGCAAATTCAACAAAAATTAAAAGAAGATAAAATTGTGAGATTTATCGAGTGCGTGAAATTTTTTATTCTCGTCCTCTGCTGCGAATGTAAAGTGTAAAGCACCGTTATACCGATAATCCATCGTCTTACCATTGTCAGAAAAAATAAAAAAGAAAAATACAGAAAGGTAAAAAAAAAAGAAAAGAGAAAGAAAAAAGTATATAAATATATCTATACAAACTACACCGAGTGACATCTAACGTTTTTGTCGATCGAACCAAACACGGCCTTCCATAGAGCAAACGTTCCGAGGAGACTGAGTAATTTTTCCTTTTCGTTCCTTGTTGTTTGATCAGTATATGCTTGAAATGCGTATATAATAATATAACATATGATATTGTAACGGTAGGAAAAAGGAAAATCTAACGGATGACTGACCGATCAATTGGACGCGTGACGATCGGCACGAAGAAAATCTTTTGTGCTATATATTTTTGACGATCGTTTAGCATGTAATTAGAATTACGTAGACTAAGTAATACCAAGAGGGAATGATTCAGTATTTACTACTTATTAACATGTAATTAATGTTATAGATAATGAAAAGTATCGATTATATATTGTGTATGATTAAAGGAATGTCAATCAATCGGGTTTGGGTTTGGGTTTCATTGATACGCCGTAATGTTTCGCAATCGAACAAGGTATTTACTTGAGAAATTAAACATTTTAACGGATAATTGTTTGAAAAATATCTCCAGATACTATATTGTGTGCGTATTTTACAGCTACAACTTTTCTTCTCTTGTTGAAACAAATTTATTATCTTGAATCTCTATTAAACTGTAAAACATTACAGTCGCGAGATTTTTCGTAATGAAAAAAAGAGGAAATAAAATTAGAATTATTTACTTTGTAATGTGACTGCTATCTTAACAAATTAAGAAAAAAAAAAGAAGGAAATTTCGTTTTATTTTTGTGATGCCTATACTGAATCGTGTAATGATACTATGTTCTTACTACAAATTAATCTTCAGACACCATATCTTTTTACAATAAGAATAACGAACTGTTAAACGTCGACGCTAGAATAGTATCGATAGTATTATTACACTGAACACGGAACCATTCCTGAAGTGGCTTTTAAAGTCGACGGAATAAAAAGACAAGACGATTTAATATCGCCCAAAAAACCTGTTCAATTGTTACTGTGCGGCATCAAAATGATGATCATTCCTGAAATTTTTCTTGTGTTTAAACTATTTTTAATGCATATTCCAATTTAACGCATAAGAAGAAGAAATAAAGAAGCGATATTTTAATGGCAAATTAAGAAAATTGTCGAGATCTACTGAACTTCTTGTTAAACTTATAGAAACATATTCTAGCATCTTGAACTGTAATATTAACGTTTAAAGAAAAAATATTATAAAAAAAATATTTTTGCTTGTGACAAATTTATTATAAAATTGGAGATCGTGATAGAAAGATGATAATGATAACATTCGAGTAAATTATAGCAGCGTGTATTTCGGAAACAGTCGCGAAATTTTACGAAAAATTTTTTCAACGTTAACGATATGTCACCGATTGCTAATCGACTATGCAAATTATTGTAACTGAATAAAACGAAACTGTGTGTCAGCTATGTTACTTTAAAATGGATATTATATACATATTATATTATAAAACTTCATATCGACATTCAATTATATGTACCTACGTGTGCATTTTTAAATCAAAAAGTTATATCATTCGGCGTCCTAAGTATTTTTCAAACCCATGGTGCTTTTGATTGAACAATAACGCATTATTGTAATTAAATTAAATCATAAAAAATAACAAAAAAAATAAATAAATAACTATATTCTACTTATAAGCGCATTCATCCTGGAATATTGTTTTATCTGCCTTTCTTTATTTAACCCATTCATGCTCAATGTTTCACATACAACATTGAACTTTAACAAGTTGTTAATTAACTAAATGATAAATATATTAGTTTTTAGCAAAATTAGTTTTAAATCTTGGTATATTATGCTTTTTTCTCAGAAGCATAAAAAGATATATTACTTTTAAGGTGAATCTTTTGAATCTTGAGGTTGAAGGGCCGAATCTTTCTTTGAAGAGCTAAATCTTCATAAAATTATATTTTTAATATTTATATTTTACTTCAAATTCTCACTTGTGCAATTCTCATTTTACACATTCACTTCTCGTTTTTTAACTCATACATTCACAATAAATTGTAAAACTATCCAGGAAATATCCACATCATCGTGTGATACTCTTCATATATTTCCCTTTATAATTATTGAAAATTACTAAGCTACTATTCTAAAAATTGTATAGATAAAAGAAATTTCTACTGGATGTTTCACAGCTCAAAAAAATTTGATCCTCAAAGAATAACTGACCAAAATATTTGATTTCTGGTAAGGTAATGAAGAATGATGAACTGTTAAAAATGTCCCAAACATAAATTGTGCTTAAGATTGGAATTCTTATATCTTTAATGACATCATACTAAGAACAGTTATTACCATGTATATACTTTAACGCTCTATTTTTACGTTACATGTCCTTGCTAAATATTGTTATCGTGATGCTCCTCGTGTACATTGTATAATTAGAAACATGTAGAAACAGATGCCTGACGAGTCGCGCAGCGATACAGCTGCGATATCACTGCGACATAGCATGGCATCGCAACAGTCTATTACACAATTACCATAGACATAGGAATATATGCCCATGACGAGATTATGTACTTAGAAACATATATATCTGCTATCTACATACTTACCTGTGACGTTACAACGGTGTCGTGTCACTCGTGTGCATCGTGTCATGAACAGATCTACGATCAGGTCTACATCTTTTGTTTTATTTGTGCTAATATTAACCTTTAAATTCTTTTGAGCATCGTCGAATAAATATTATAATAAATGAGTAAGCGACGTCGTATCGTAATAGTCAATTCTGCAAGTTGGCCAAAATCGATAAACGACAATGTTAGAAATAATTACTAGTTTATACCATTCGTCAGGTGCATATGGCAAGAGAAGCGCTCTCTCAAATATAAAAATTCTTAACCACCAATTTTAATTAATAGAGAGTACGGTTAGATGCATCTAATATTAATTTTATAAATGGTTTTATTTAGCATGCAGATGTCAATTGTAGAAGACATGATTAACTCGTTTGGATATTGCGGTCATAATGACACAGAACTTATTCAATTGCTTTGCAATCACCCATTAACATTGAAGCAGAAACAATAGATGGTTAGTTAATCATTAAACCGAATTGATATTTCGTATTATAAAAAATATTCATTATAGATATCAATTTGCTAGACAATTACTTTACAAAAAAAACTATTCAGATTTTTCTTATTCTACTTTTTTAAATTTACATTATGATTATGCATTAATAAATACACTGCTAATTTAAATTAATAATCTAAAATTGGTTAAAAAAAATTACATATACATATATATGTATATATTTCTATACAGGATTAACATTCCTTCACAAAGCTGCTTTTCTTAGATATAAAAATGCAATTGGAAAGTTATTTCAAAATAATGCTGTAATATAATTTAGGTAGATATCCTTTGCATTATGCTGCTCTTTGAAAGGATATTAAAAGTACTTCCCTATTATTAAGAAATGGTGCACTTGTAAATATTTATGATGTCTTTTATGAAAGCCCTTTGTATACTAGTGTCATATGAAGATCTTCCCTTCCTATGATTAAATTATTAATATTGCGTAAGTACAATGAGTAAATTAGAGATAAATGAGTACAATCGATTTAAAAGTATTCATAAAATTGATGGAATCAAATTTCATTCATGATAAATCAAATCAAATTTCATTAGGTTTATTTCTTAAAGCTACTTTCTGTACATGAAAGGTATAGGATATAGAAATACTTGGTTTTCTATTTCGAAAAATTGCAGATACAACAGATTTTATGGGTTTACACAAGCCGTTATATATATCACCTATGACAGAAAATATGAAATTGATTACGTTAGTAACTGTGAAAATAAAATATTTATATAACATTTTTAAATTAAGTTCTAAATTTTGAAATTATGCAGTTATCTTATTGAGAAGTGAGCAAATCAAATCGGAAAAACAGAGCCGGTCATATACCAATGGATGTAACTTTAATACATCGTAATATTAATATTGCACAATTAATACAAAACTTACTTTCAGAAGAATTAAAAATACACAGGATACTAACCATCAATTTTATAAAGAATTTTATGAACGATTAGATTTATCTATAGATGATTATGTAAACATAACCTTACTATTGTTCACTTATATACAACAGTAATTTAAATAAATTTATGTGAGTAAAATATGAAATAAATTCTGTACTACATAACGTACATTATATAACATACATCTTTAATTTTTCACAATTATAGAAAAAGAAAAGATACCAATCAGAAATATGCTGAAAAAATATATCGAAAGAAAATGTTTTACATGCATATACTCTTCAAATATTTCTTTAAAAATCAAAGTGACATGAATAAAAAGATATACGAAAAGGACAAAAATAAGTACAAATAAAGCATATAAATTTATAATTTTTTTTACTAAACTTTAATTATATAGTACTTTAATTTTGTCGAACTTTTTAATCATGTAATTTATGATAAGTTTCCTTTGCATATAGCTTCTTATCTATATACATAAATACTCTGTATATGTTTGATTTAAGAACAACTGTGTACAGAGTATAGATTTTTGGGTGTATTATATCATGTATGAATATGAGAAAATAAAAAATAAAAAATGTTTGAACAGAACAGTGCTTCGATAATAAATGAAGATGAAAGAAATAGTTTATTAAGGTTAGCGAGGATACCTGGAGAAATGATGAATTTAGACAAATTAGCACACATAGGTTTATCTGTAATGTTTACATCAGTATATGCATAATTAAGTATTGTAATAACATAAAACCTTGATTAACTTTTTCTTTGAAAACTAAAAATATGGATCTTCGTTACGAATGATAATAGACTAGGAATAAAACATTAGAACATAGACTAGGAATAAAATAGACTTAACACCCAATTCATTTTTGTGTTGTATACTTCAGGGGTTTAGGACCGTCTTATCGTTCTAATGTAATTTTCGGCGTTATCGATTCAATGTAGAATGAAATTACATTTATAATCGAACATTGAAACGAAATTTTAATATGAAATTATAAATAACATATACGATAGAATACTAAAACTTTCAATTTTTTGCATGATCGGTATTTCAGAACATGAGACATGAAGTCTCGTAGTCTCATATGATATCACGTCTATTCTGTCCTTAGTCAATGGTAAGAAACCAAATAAGTAATGAGACAAGATGCTAATAAAACTATCACTTAGCGTCTTATTTAGTTTATGGAAGAGTAGATTGCGGTGATAATTCAAACGTGTAATGTTACTACACGTATTTTGTACAATTGAGTTAAAGAAAATTAGAAGAACATTAAACATATTGTAGACTTAGTATGTGATTTGTAGTATGTGTTCATTGTACATTTTATGATAGTAATCAATTGTTTGAATCTTTTAGTACACAGTGTAAATATATATCGGTTCACCAAAGAAAATTTTAACTATCATTAATGCTCTCTACTAGGGCCTATTAATTATAGTGAAGCTGTCATGAAGTAAAATTAAAGGATGATGATGGGCGATCAGTTTCGTAGCAAAGTGGAACAATACTCACCAAAGTCATCACCCAGGGGTGCACGATCCCCTGTTGTTTCACGTCAAGATTCAACAGGGACTCTTAAGACAACCATTTCCCTGGGTAAAAATCCTTCCATTGTACACAGTGG